GGCGTGTACTTTATAGCATTTAAGTACAATAAACCCAAGTTTGGTCTATCTGAATATACAGTAACAAAACTAAATTGTACAGAATACAGATACAGGAGGTGCATGAACTTTTAACAGAGAATCTCACCTGGTTGTTCAGGGACGTGTTTTGAAGCAACCTGAAGGCCCTTGTAACATTTGAAATCGCTTATTATCGACATGTCTGCTTCTTAGATCCGAAAAACGCTTAACGGGCCACTACTAACCCAGCATGAACCGGATGAGTATTAATTCGCCACCCCACCCATATGGAGGCAAGACGGGAAATATTTCAGAAATATTTTGACCCGTTTAGACAGCCCACACAAGAGCGCGCTGGTCAGCCTTATTAAATTGACATGAAATATTGATGTTTTTTAGTTGGATTAAGTTGTGTTAACATGCTCTTATCCAGCTCTAACTTACCCGTCTTGTTCAAGCTGTTTTCGACTGCTGGTCTTATCGTTTTATGCTCAACATATGTTTTAACCGTCATAGTTTTAAATAAAGTAAAAGTATAATATTAAGTAAAAGTACATGTAAACGCCTATTAGAATTATTCTAAAAATGTCCACATTTAGTTTCACTTGTCTTTTTGCTGTGAAATAGGCTATTTCATTTTCATAACGTAAGAACAACTTTTATATTGGTAAATAATATTTAAAGATGGACATTTTCTCGACTGAAGCAACTTCCATCATATTTCTTTAAAAGAAAAATCATGTTAATGTAGGCTATATCAAACGTTACAAGAGACTCAATTATTATTGTATTACATTGAATTATATATTTTGCCTACCATGATTACAAATGCAGAACTTTGATCATAAAACTAAGGATTTAAATTTAATCTCAGTATGACATTATTGGGAGAGTGACAACTAAAATTTAAAAGCATTTTATGTAAGTAGTCTGTAATAAATACCTTATTGATTTACAAACTATCAGAATTTCATCTTACTTTTTGGCCGTATAAATAACATTTGCACCAAATTGCGTATTGTTGTTAATTTTGGGCCTCTGAATAAAATTGAGGTGTTTTTTCCTCCTCGCATATTAGCTCCATGTTTTCACTATACTATATAGGCCATAAAAATATAATACAAAACATAAAACACATATGCAAAACTTTCTCTAGGGGCTCAATAAATAGTTTAATTAAAAATTTTCTGTCAGGCTTTACAGGGTTAAAATAACAACAAAAAAAGGTTAAAAGTACTGTGGCTTTTCCATTGTGCAGTTATGGTATCAGATGGTACTGACCGATATTAATACACATATTTTAGGAGAAGCATTCCTGGAAGTGGTATCCCTTCCTCTAATTCTTGATTGATGCATACAGAGACAGAGACTTTACTGTCATTTTTATTTATTTATTTATTTGTTTGTTTGGTTTTTAGTTACTGTGAAATCAAAACACATAAATTACAGATTCTAATATGGCTCTTGTAGAAGACACCAAAAGTGTAAAATAAAGTGTCCAATTGTGACAACTCTTTGTGCAATAATGAGAACATTCTATTACAGCTGCATCTATGTAGTAACTATATTTTGCATGTGTATTCAGAGGAGAACTGGCCCCCTGGTGTAGCCTGGATTCTCCCAAGGCTTTTCATCTTTGATTGCAAGTTTTTCATTCCTTGCCACAATTGCCTTTGGCTTGCACACTACACTCTAAAAATGCTGGGTTAAATACAACACAGTGCTGGGTAAAATATGGACAAACCCAGCAATTGGGTTGTTTTGACCCAGCAGTTGGGTTACTACCCAGAAGGGTGGGTTAAACATTTAACCCAACCGTTGGGTCAAAACAACCCAATTGCTGGGTTTGTCAATATTTCACCCAGCACTGTGTTGTATTTAACCCAGCATTTTTTATAGGGGGCTAAAGCTATTTTGTATCATGTACTTTATACCGGTATTACGCCTTTTGTTAAACTGACCAGGGGTGGGAAATATGACCAAAATCTTAAACCCTGTTCATACGTGGCATTTAACTGTGGCAGTGGTATACACCACCTTACAGATTCCTAATCCTCCATATCACACCATAAATGAATAACCCCAATTTACATCTATATCCAATTTTTTTCTGCATACCTACAATACTCAAATAGTCACATGATATATACTATATAGCATATCTTAAATGCTTGATTGTTTATAATGTATTCACATATAAACTATACTATCACCTGGCTCTTAACTGTTAAATGTGGAAAATTAAGCACAAACATCATAAAACTCTGTTGTAGTATACATTTGAATGCCTTGTACTATTAGTCCCAAAACAAAGGCCTTAGAAATGGAGAGACAAGATAAAACACATGATAAATCATGTAGAAATATGTCAATATACAAAGCCAACCAGTACATTTAGAATCGCACTGCACACTATGATCATACGCTATAGCTATTCAAACTTGTACATGTCATGTACAATGTTCAAACGATATTGTATAAATTATATTAAAAAAAAGTAAATTATTTGTGTTACTGGCTGGTGTCATATTACAGTTCTCATTGTTATTGGCGCATTCATTTGTGTTAGTCTTAACTTATGTTCGGAAAGTCTCCATAGAAAAGCCCTGGGAATTCAGATGAATCGTCACATTCTGGTTGCATCTATGACGACGCTCCATATAGCCTGTGCATTTTTAAGACTGTTTATGGCATATTAACCTTCGTAACCACAAAGCACAAAGCACAGCATCACTACACAATCTTTAACAAACCTGACATTCACATTTAATAGAGTATAATCATTATTATAATATAATTTGTTTGAAAAACATGCCTAAATGAAAAAGGTTATTTACTGCTAAGGATTTAAGACAACTAGGGTGGATTAAAGAAAAATACATGTCTGAAAAACATATTCTCAAACTTTTTGTTTGTTCCTCACAAAAAGGTTTTGTGACTTCAGAAGATGAATATGCCAGACAAGTCATATACAGTAGCTCTTTTTCTTTTTCTTTTTAAAGCTGATAAAATTCCAGTCTCCATGAAATTACATGAAATAAGCAGACCAGAACATTTAGTGATGCAAAATTAATGATGATAGAACAATACAAACCCGTCAAATGTCATAACACAGGCTGGTCTTGTGTTGGAACTCTGCAAGATGTTGATTCCCTCCTCCAGTAAAAAGTCAGCATGTACCGTATATGTGGATACACATTATGCAGATGATTTAGATTTTAGGAACTTGTAATACCATACTTAATACTTTGCTTTGCACACATTCATTTGAATAATTCCATAATGATTTAAATGGATGAGCCATGTACTATACCGATTGGGCTATTTCATTTGCATCTGCTAGTAAGAGCATTGCGAAATAAAATTATAGCAGTTATTTAATGTGGCTTTTAAAAAAGATTTTTGCTTACTAAACAATTTTGTGTATCTTAGAAATTCTACACCTCAATGCACCTCGTTTGGAATGACTTCTAGCAATTGTTGAAGACAGCTTTTGTGACACATGGTTAAAGATTACCCTAGTTGTCTGCGGTAAAGGAAATGGCATGTAGAAAAATTACTTTGACATGCACTTTATAGCACTTGCGTATAATAGAATAAACCAAAGTCATATACAGTCACAAAACTAAATTGTACAGATACACCTGCCTACAACAACGCTATTAACCCGACAAGAACCGGATGAGTTTAAAGGGTTACTCCACCCCAAAATGAAAATTTTGTCATTAATCACTTACTTCATTTACGCTTTGATTTGAACGAAAACAACGTGTATCCGTGTGGTGCGGCTGACACAGAACAGCGTATGCAGTTTGCGTTCAGTGGATACTCTCCAAAATGGCGCTACTGTGACGCGGAGGAAACGAATTGTTGAAAAAAGTCGTTATTTTTGTTTTCGTTGCGTACAAAAAGTATTCTCGTCGCTTCATAAAATTCATATTGAACCACTGATGGCAGATGGACTATTCTGATGATGTCTTTCATACTTTTCATTTTGGGGTGGAGTATCCCTTTAATTCGCCGCCCCGCCCAACATATGGAGGCGAGACTTGACATATTTCAGAAACTTTGTATTTTGACCCCGTTCACAGAAGACAGTATGATCTATCTGGACAACGTGCACAGTAATAAGAGCGACTGGCATTATCAGTTTCATTATTTTACGTATTAACTAAATAAATAGACGTGAAATGTTGTTTTTAGTTGGAATAACATTTAACTCTTCTGCAGCTACCTGTATCCTGTTTAAGCTGTTTTCGACTGCTGCTCTTATAATCGTTTTATGTTCACCATATTAACCCTAGGCTACTGCACCGTATTTGATACATGAATTTCTAAGGCCTCTAAATGATCAAAATACTATTCATCTTTGCTGAAAGTCTGTTGGACACAATCATCTACATGCCTTCTGCCCTCTGATTGATAGTTCATACATTTAATTTGAGGCCTTTTATTATAATTTTAGTCTAACTTTTAGAATAATTCTGTCCACATTCAGGTTGTGGTTCACATGTCTTTGGGCTGTGAAATCTTTAATGATTTTCATTAGCTTAAACATAATAATACATTTTATATTGTTAAATAAATATTTCAAGATGAACTTTTACAGGGCTGACGCAACGTAGATTTACTTGATTATCAATGCATATTTTTTATGTACGTGTTAAAATCTATACATCAAATATGTTACAACAGACTCAATTATCATTGTATTACACTGAATTATATGTTTTACTTACCATAATTAAAACTACAGAGCTACGATCATTAAATTAGGGATTTAAAATTCATCTTACTATGCCATATTACTGGGAGATAAAGAGAGACTGATTACAGTATTAATATGATAATTGATGGTACTTCAAGGAATACCACAGTAGTAACATTAAACATGTTAAAAACATGTTATTAAAAAAATACATGGTACATAGTGTTTCTGATGAATCTGATTCATATAAACATTATCAACACACACACACACACTATAAAAATATATCCAGTTCAGGGTGTCCAGAATTATACATCAAGGCAGTATGACGAGTCCTGTGTGAGCTGGATGGCCTCAGGTAGGACGCCCTGTGAGGTAGCCACCATCCTGATGCTGTTGCTGTGGGTCAGTTTCCTCTCATACTGAAGCAGTTGTCTCCAGAAGCCCGCGTTTGGTCGAATGAAGGGCCGTGCTGCCAGAACCCACTGAAGAGCCTGAAGCAGCGAGAGTCCCTCAAACCGCATGAGATACGCCATGATAAGAGACGGAGACCTGCTTCTCCCGGCCGAGCAGAACACCAGAGTGCTTCCAGTGTGGTTCTGCTGGATCTGCTCAGCCACGCTGTCAAAGTGCTGCTCCAGAGGGGCGTGAGGACGGTCCTCCACCGGCACCCAAACGCACTTCACCCCCTGATACTCCGGACAGGGGTATTCAGCACAGGCGTTCACTAGCAAAGTGATGCCTCTGTGCTCCAGCGCTGACTGATTCACGGCCTCCACTCCACTCAGGTACAGACTCGGGGTGATCTGAGAGATCATCACTGTGAGCGTAAGGGAGAAATAATACATTAAAAGTGATTAACATTACATCATTTCTAGAATGAACTAATCTGAAATATATAAGCATATTTCTCACGTAAAAGCTTATAATTAAATAAAAAGTTTTACAAGTACAAATATTCCATATTGAATCTCAATTCATGTGATCTCATACAAATGCATGTGATTTTACAAGAATTAGAAAAGTTCTTCAGCAAGAATAAGAAGGGGTTTTCAATTCAAGAGATATTTACAAATAAAAAAAAAAGATTTTAATAAATGTATTTTTAGGGTTGTCAAAGTTGACCTGTGCACTCAGGATACTGATCAAATATGTTGAATTTAAGTATTTTGTTTATATTTACATTAACTAAACTTGATATTAGGTAATATTTAAAAAAAAAAATGGTCAGAGAACATTTGAAAAAATAAACATGCATATAGCTTTGTTAAAAAAATTTGTTTGTGTTGATCTGCAATAAAAAGTTGTTAATCAGATATGCTATCTTTATAAGTTAATAAAGTAAATATTAAAAATAATATTTTAACAATTTGCTTCAGTACAATGACAATACTAATTAATTTGGGAAACAATTACTTAATTTAGATCTCTTTATAATACATTCATTATTATTATCTTACCAGTATAAATATTACTACAGTAGTTATAAATTAGTTTTTCTATATTAAAATATATAACTTCCATATATATATATATATATATTATTATTATTATTTTAGGAAGAGGATTTAGGATCCCCTCACATTTTTGGGGTCCTTGACATCGAGTATGAAAACTCTAACCCTGCGTCCCAATGTGCATACTATCCACCCTATCTGCCCTAAATAGTATTGAAAACTACTAATATCCGCTAATATCACAGAATTTAGTATGGATAGTATGCACAGGCTTAGTATGGCATTGAAGGACACTGTTGTAGGCTACATAAATCACGTCAACTGCCCAACAGCTCTAGCGAGTAACAAAATTGCCTAAATGGATTGATGTGCTCTAACTGACAGCAGACGATTTTAACCATGCAAACCGTAGTTTACCTCGGAGCTTCGAGGACTAAGACAACACTTTCATTCAGTCTTTCCTTCGGCTTTGGTGTGTGTTTGTCTATTAGGGTCTAATACAAGCAGCTTTACTTTGCAGCAGCAGCATTATAAAGAACACAAGCACCGGCACGAAACAATATCAGTTATAGTACAGCAATTCTGTAGCCTGTAGCTACCATAGAAATATTACTCATAGAATAAGAATAATCCGTACGTAACACGTTCGCCATTGGCGAACAGCGGCAGCCAACAAGACAGGAGCCCACAGTGGACACATATTGGTACTGCAGGTGTTTTCTTAAAGGGAGAGTTCATCCAAAAATAAAACTCACCAGTCAACATTTACTCACCCGGTCTTTCCAAACCTTTAACCTCCCGAGACCCTGCATCCTCATATGAGGACATTATATTTTAGTGAATTTCTCTGAGACTATACATGCCACAGTTTTAAGTCTGGATGTCCTGTACAGAGCACATTCAGGGCTTTTCAGAGATACTAAATGTTTGGATGTTTCACCATGACCACTCCCTCTCCTTGGTCTTCAAAAATGTCTGATATTAATTTAGTGACACTCTTATGGAAATATGATAATATTTTGTAGTTATCACTTAAATCTGACACATTTTTTAACTGTGTGTTATAAATCAACATCTCAGGAAAATGTTAGGGGGTTTCAAATCAAAATATGACTTTCTGTTACGAAACAGGACATTGATTTCGTACTTGTCCTTATATGAGGACACCGGGACTTAAAGCATGTTTATTACGCATTTTGGGAGACACAAAAAATGAATAGGGAAATAAATTATATTTCAATATTCCTATTAAATATTATCTATTATGAAAATCTTGCCAATTATTACTCCCATTATTACACTTCTTTTTTCATTAGGCTACATGTTGCCCCAAAAACACATTAATATGCAAATTAGATTTAGTTTATAGATACATTATATATAATGAGAAAACCTGTTTATGACCATTTTACACACATTTTGCATAAAGCAAAATGGTATATCAAATCATTCTGTTATATAGTTGAGAATTATCTTTATACAAAGTTTGGTAAAAAAAAATCCTGAAAACTAAAAATGTATTGGCGATGTAGAAGGAAAAAAAATTGTTTTTGCCTATGCATTTTCATTCATGTCTTTTTATTTTATTTTTTAAAAATTGAGTCCCGATGTCCTCTCCTCTACCAAGGACGTAACAACTTATGAATGAAATATCATTTTTATTTTTTTTACATTTTTTTTAATGCTCTAAACAACGTAATGACATGAAAAAATACTATTTTTTTCCTAAAATGTTTTGCCGGGTCTCAAGAGGTTAAAATAAATAAAAAATAACTACATAACTAACTAAATATAAACTATAGAATAAAAATAAATGTTAAATAAATTTAATAACAAGCAGAAATTAAAATCCGCACACGGTTGCAGGGCTGCACCTCCTCAAAAAATCTTTAATTCAATGCTTCATCAGAAGCCGTAAAAAAACAAGTGCAAAAGGTGTACAAAGGTGCAAAACGTTTTCGAAACAAAGCTTTTCCTAAGTGCCACATTGATTAGTGCACACCTGCACACATTAAAACATCAATATTCACCATGGACATCATAATATGCGCGCAGCACAAAAAAGCACCATACAATATCCAATTTACCTTAAGAAATTCTAATACATATTAATGGTAAAAACTTCAATATAAAAAAACCATCATTAATGCAAGATGCAAAAAATAAATAAATAATAAAATTCATAATTTTATCCAGAAATCTTATGTTTCTTATATACATACTTTACAAAAAAATTCAAAACCAATTCCTCATTCATACCAAGGGGATATATAATGATCTCGAATCAAGAATCCATTTGCATTCTCTTTGTAAAAGGCGGCGTTCCATGTCACGACCCCTTCAAATCTGTGGTAGGCTAATTTATATGTTCTATTACGATAAAATCCAAGTCCGATATGGAATGTGACGCTTCGCACGTTTTGCACCTTTGTACACATTTTGCACTTGTTTTTTTACGGCCTCTGATAAAGCATTGAATAAAATATTTTTTGAGGTGTAAACTCTGCATATAACCGTGTGCGGATTTTAATTTCTGCCGGCTTCATGTTTTTTTGGATCTACGCACCGGACTTACTGTGTGGTTTGATATTGGGCATCTGGCGCTGCTCCTCTTCTGTTTAAAATAAATTTACATTATTTTACATTTACTAAATGTAATTTACATTAAATAAATTATAATTTTTAATAATTTATTAAATACATTCAATTTAATGTTTAATTAAAACATTAAATACCTCTACATTAAATAAATGTAAAAAAAAAAACACAAAAAAAACACATATATATATATATATATATATATATAA